TGATGTCCCATGCAGCGGATCGTGCGTAAGCGGATTCGCGTATCGCCAATCACAGAATCATTCTCTTAGATATGCTTGCGAAATTTGTAAACAGATCTAAGAGAATGATTCTGTGATTGGCGATACGCGAATCCGCTTACGCACGATCCGCTGCATGGGACATCACCCTTAACCGAGGTTCAACGGGTTCAACTTATTTTTCATCTTTTTCTAATTCTAGAATTGAAAAGAGGGTAATTATACAGAATACCTCCCCCACCTCCGATTTCGTTAAAATTTGGCTCATTCGACGCGTTTTTGCATGAAACGAAAGAATCTAGCAGAAATAAGCGTCGCTTTGCCCTACGAACCGAGATATTTAACGTTACAGCCCTTCTACAATAAGCCGCAAGTCAGAAGTTCTAATGGTACGTTTCCACTGAGCGCGTCACGCGTCGCGTCGTCCATCCGCGTCACGAATTAACCAATCAAAACATCCCATTTTATTGTATCATTTGACGCGCGACTCTTTGCGTGACGCATCGTAATTTTGCTCGACATTGTAGAGGTAGAGATAAAAGATTATAGGTTACATTCCAAAACGTTCTTCGAGGAAAGTTTCACTGTAGTATATGTTACGTGTATTATTTTGAGTAAAATTGTCCTCGGAGAGGACGTTTTGGAACGTAGCCTAGGAACGAAATATTCTTCCTATTCTGAATTGCGCGCATTCCACCATGAGGCAGGTCACGAAAAATGGGACAGTATTCGTAAGTTCTAAATTATTAATTAATCAAAATGATATTTCTAAGTTACGATTATAAGTTAAAATGTTAAATTACCTACAATATTTTGCTAGAAAACTTCCTATCGATGTTTTGTAAAATTAAGGTTATGTTTCAACTTCTTGGTAACTTAATCAGGTAAATATGTATCTATCTTTGGTTATGGTTAAAGTTTTGCTATAAATGCTTTGAAGTGTTTCATGAACCAATCAGAAGAAAGAATTTTACAAATTAATCAATTAAAAAACGTTTCAAAGAGTTTGTAGCATCGCGTTAACCGTACCATTTATCTTTCTCCCTAAAAATAAAGACAGATAATACATACCTATCAGGAAAAATTTCCCACTAAGTTGGAACAATCTGCCTACTACATCTTTTGTTTCAGATATGTGATAATTGTAATGCTGTTATAGCAGGTGGCATAGCTGCCAAAAAGCATTACGAAAACTGTACAATACAGAAGAACAACAGTGAAACAAAAGACTCAGATCCTTTAAACATTCCTGTAAGTAATGAAAAAGAATTACTCATTGCTGAAGTTTTCAGCAATTTTTTTAGAGAGCCTTTGTGGAATTCACTAATCCCATATGCTGAAAGGAATCATAATATTACAGCAGCATTGTGGCATGAAATTGATACAGTTTTAGGTAAGCAGAAACTCTTTACTATAGGCATAAAGTATAAAAATATATCAATTTAAATTTCATTATATTACTTTACAGGTGTACAGAAAGGACATAGTCAGAAAACATTTAAATCATTAAGAGATCGCTTTCTCAGACTGATAGCTGAGGAAGACAAATCTAAGCGCAGTGGCAGTGCTGCAAGTAGCACAATTGATTGGAAATACTTTACACAGCTGAATTTCCTTCGTCCTACCGTAGAATACAGACCGTAAGTTTCTTAATTATGTACAGTATTACAAAAAAGTATAAATTTGCACGTTTCTTTTTCACAAGTGAAAATGAGAATAGTTTTTATAAATAGTTTTGACTGAAATTAGAACGGATTAGCGGATAATTATTTTAGAAATAAAAATAAAAATAATTTTCTAATTATAGAACGATAAGCAATCTATCAAAGAACAAACGCTCTACAACAGATATGGAAACACCAGTGGCAAGCTGTTCTTCTGTACCAAAGAAAAAAAGAGTCGCCTGCAGGATCTTTGACGGAAAATTTTGAAGTGTTTTGTAAAAAATATTTAGAATCTAATGTGCCGGATCGTATTGGATCTTTTATGCTATATTTAAAATCAGAAATGAGGACCCTCTCCAACAAGAAAGTGAAGAATTTAATACGAAAAATAACAGAATCCTTAATGCAGGTACAGGATGAGTCAGACATATTATGAAACGAAATATCGGTTTCTCGACCAACCACTTTCGTAAATAATTAAACTAAAGAAAGAGAAAAAGGGATAGAGAAAAACACATTGATTTAATACATTTTTTGCAATATTCATTGTATGAATGTATATTTTAAGTATTTCATGTTTATTTTTTAATCTGCAGATCTTCAGCAAAATAGCTCTTATTTTATCTAAAAACCTAATAATCTCTTCAAAAACTCAAAAAAATAATTTCTTTGCTTTATAATATTTGGTTATGTACTATAATATTTTTATTTTTTTTATAAAATAACAAATAGCTACCTAATGTGATATTATTTTAAGGAATCGCAGGCTGTGCGCAAAATAATTTTTATAAGTTTGCCTAAAAGCAAATTGTACTATAATGTTAAATATTCTTTATATTTTGTTTGTAGTTATGTAGTATATAATTATACACGTACTATTATTTTTATAACTTTTGCGTTTTTGTTATATCACAACAAATATAAAATACTCGTCAAATCCTCACACCGAAATTATAAAGTACAGGAATGTATATAAATATATTTTAATAAATATTTTTGAAAATTATATACATTTGATACTCTTATTATATTGATCTTATTACATCTCCCATTGCCATGATACAACTCCTTCGTTCATAAAATATTGAGTAAATCTATTTCGGATCTCAGCTGCTTGTCTCGAATAATTGTTTGAACTGGAATTATGATAACTTTGAACTGCACCTGTTTCTGGCTGCGTATCGTTCGCCATGATGCCATCGCAATTCACATGATCAATCGGTGATCAAAATAATGATTTCTCGTCATCATAAAATTGTGAAGACAAACAGTAGCTTGCACAATTGCTTCGATCGTAGCCAGCAATGTGTTCATAAAGGTATGATAAATTCTCCATCGTGCAACCATAATAGCAAAAGCATTCTCAACCACTCTTCTTGCCCTGGACAATCTGTAGTTGAATATACGTCTTTCTGGAGTTAGATTCCTCCCTGGATATGGTCTCATAGTAAATGAGTTCAATTGAAAAGCCTCGTCTGCAACTATTACGAATGGAAGTGGTTCAGTATATGCTGGATCAATAATTGACGGAGGAGGCAAATTCATTAGTCCTTCACTGAATCGACGACCCATTTCACAGTTTTTAAAGATACCTCCGTCGCTATGGCGCCCTTGAGCTCCTATATCTACCATAAGAAATTTATAATTTGCAGATACCAAGGCCATTAGCACAATACTATGTTGTCCTTTATAGTTATAGAACGACGATCCAGAATTTGCCGGAGCCTTAAAAAAAAAATTTGAAGCATTACATTTTTTGAAAAATATCTGTAAACTCATTAACACATGCAAGTATTTGTAGTCACATTATCTATGATAAAATTAACTTACTGTGATGACAACATGCTTTCCATCCAATGCGCCAACACAGTGTGGAAAATTCCAACGTTGTGCAAATTCATCATGAATATGTAACCAATTTTCTTCAGAGGGTGTTAAAAATTCTTGCTGCATATTACACCATATCGCTTTGCACGTTTCTCGAACTATTTTAGATGCAGTACTTGTCCCAATTTTGAAACCCAAAGCTAATGATTTTAGAGAATCTCCAGTAGCTAAATAGCTAAAAGATTTCCAAAGAATTATTTTAATGTGTGTGTGTGTGATTAAAAAAATAATAATGTTAATAAAAAAACCAGAAAATGGCAATCAAAAAGAAATATTTCATGACTTACCGAATTGTAAATGATAATCGAGTTTCTACAGAGATGGGCTCTCGACAATTTGTTGTTTGTAGTATTAGTTGTGATCCAACCAAAGAAAGAATCTCTTCAAAAGTTTGTGGTGTTTCTCATAAAGTTAAAATAGGTTTCATGATCATACAAACGGAGCTCTTGTATCAAATGTTCCCAGTTCCCATGAGTTGGTCTCGTTTTAATTATTGGATGCTCCCAGAATCGGTGAAATCTTTTATTTTCCTCTTCCATAAGTTTTAGCCGTCTATACAAAAGTAATATGCCAGTAATTTTCGTTCGCAAACGCTGTCGATAGGCCTCCATGATTCTAGGTTACGTGTGGTTACGTGATCGCTCATGCATTGCCATGTATTACCATGCATTGCTTTGATTTGCGATGACGCTGACGCGTTCAGTGTGAATTAGTACGACGCTATTCTTGAACTTCTTTGCGTCGCGTCGTGACGCAATGGACGACGCGACGCGTGACGCGCTCAGTGGAAACGTACCATAAGCGATCTTAAGTCATAATCGGTGAAGTTGGCCAATAGCTAACTTGAACGACTTGGTTAAGACTGGTTAAGACTTCTGACGTTCTGACTTGTGGCTTATTGTAGAAGGCCTATTAAAGTTGATGACTATTCGCATGCATTCGTTTATGCAGCGGTTAGCACAGAAGTATTACTTTATCCTTGTTGTTCACTGAGCGTTGAATAAAAATTAAGCTCATAGTTCGGGAGATGATGACACTAAAATGGTTATGATTTGTTACCGCTTGAAATCGTTATAATTCGTCATTTATTAGGTAAACATGCGGGAAACGCAAGTATGGCAAACCTCCCGCGGTTTTAAAATTGATAGCGTGTGATTGAGTTGTAAAAAAATTTTTTGTTTTTTTCCTAATATGTTACCGGCTGGCATATGTTTCTAGTGATAATTTACGTAAAAAAAACCAATCGGAAGGTAGGTGCCATACCGTTTCTGTGAATCGAAGGGGCCGTCAAATCAAGCTAAAGTGGTAAATTTTTTAGTGAAAAAAAAAAAGATTTGTTACCAGCTGTTTTTTTTGTATATTGCCTATTTTCACTACGAAACATACAAAAATACACATGCCATACCATTTGAGTGGACCTAAGGAGTCGCTATGCTCGTCCTAACATGTCGAATTTTTTAGGCCTTCTACAATAAGCCACAAGTCAGAAGTTCTAAGCGATCTTAAGTCATAATCGGTGAAGTTAACCAATAGCCAACTTGAACGACTTGGTTAAGACTGGTTAAGACTTCTGACGTTCTGACTTGCGACTTATTGTAGAAGGCCTATTTAACTAAAACGTCATGATTTGTTACCGACTAAAACTTTGTATATATGTTATTTACATCATAAAATATAAGAAAACATAATTACCATACTGCCTGAGTGGGCGAGAGGGCTGATACAAAGGTTGAAAGTTGTACGATTTTAAGGATCATAGTAATTATATATTACTTTCTGGCACTTGTTTCATTAGATATGTTTCTAAAACGTAAAAAAATTAAAATATATAATATATTTAGTAAAAAATTTTTCATGTAAGAATATATATAAATACGAGTATATATAAATATGCATAAACATATGTTAAAGGTTCATAAACATATATAACTAGATAAAAATCTATAATTATATACGAAATATGTCCATATATATGTTCATACATTCTTCTTTCTTTTATAGAATTATTATATAGTATAATAAAAATAATAATAATAATGAGAAAGCATAAAAAATAATTACAAGGATAAATTTCGCGTTATTCATTTTAGAAAGAATCAAATTTAGAGAATGTAAAGCATGATTTTTGCATTGTTTGTTTTACAAAAAATCAAGTTTGGAGAAATGTATAAAACCAGCGGCACACGATGCTTTTTTTCCTGTTGGATTGCTAGCTGGATTTGCGTGCTTGCTGCCGTGTTGGCAACAGTGCTGGCTGTGCTATTGGCTGTGTTGCTAGTTTGGCTTCAGACGATGCGAGTTTTAGTACTGGCTGAGCAACTGGAATTTATTACAAGTACATAAAAATTCCTAACCTGAGCCCTGAGGAGTCATGAACTTTACCGATAAATATTTTGGTTCGCGGAGAAGAGCAACGCTTTTTCTGCCAGATTCTTTCGTTTTATGAAAAATCGTCGATTGAGAATTAATCACATGTGTTTACACGCTTTCCAGCGGCCATCTTCAAATGAAGCGGCGTCATGATTGGTTCTACAATAAGCCAGCATGAAATCAAGCAAGAAAAATAGCACCGGTTCTATCACGAAAATCCAGCGGATCAGCCAACAGCGGGGCCTGCAAGCCATACAATTTCCAGCATAGCAGCCAGTCAGATTGCCAGCACAGTAACACGCAAGCAATCCAGCAGGAAAAAAAGCATCGTGTGCCGCTGGCTTAAGAATTGCTTATACATTTCTCCAAACTTGATTTTTTGTAAAACAAACAATGCAAAAATCATGCTTTACATTCTCTAAATTTGATTCTTTCTAAAACGAATAACGCGAAATTTATCCTTGTAATTATTTTTTTGTTTATCATTATTATTATTATTTTTATTGCACTAAACAATAATTGTACGAAAGAATAAAAACGATGTATGGACATGTATGGACATATATAATATATAATTATTATTTATGAATGTTTATACATGTTTATGCATGTTTATATATATATATATATTTATTTATTTGTATTCGGACATGAAAAATTTTTACTGAAGATAATGGATGAAAGATTATTAGTAGATCAAACGCGCGCTGCGACCGGTCCGATACTCTATCTCTTTTTTCCCCTCTAGCCACATTCGCAGTGTTTTGTTTCATTCTCACTCACTCCTGCACTCCTGCCTAGTCCTGTTCAAACGAAACAGCTAACGCACTTACATGTTTCGGCTCACTTTTGAGCCCTCCTCAGAGACAACATACATAAAACTATATACTCAAACTAACATACATAAAAACTGTTAAACGACGTTATCCCGTCATAGTGAGCACCCCTACGTCGAGGATTTAAATATCAGAAATGAAGGAAAAAAAACGTGAAAGAAAAATAAAAATGCAAAAAAAGAAAAAGAAAGGAAATATGGAAATTAGAAAAAAGAGAAAACTAATTTAACAAAAAATTTTTTAAATTATAATTAAATATCCCGAAAATAGGGACGCTCACCATGATCACAAAGCATCTGTTACGTCCAGCGGACTCACGCTATCTCTTTTCTCTTTCTCACGGAGACCTAGGGGTTATCAACCCTCCGAGCAACCCCCTAAGACTTCTAGGAAAAGTAATAAAAATCTTTTCCCATGAGAAAGTTTAAAGTAAAAGACTCTAGTGTCTCCATTAATGCCACATAAAATAGAGTTAGAATCGGTGAACGCAGGAAGCTAATGCACCGTCGATGACACTTCCCTTGGACAGCGCCATTAAAAACGGCAATTAATGTCAGTACTGGCGCCTAAACATTTTTCTGACAAGCAAGTCGCGGACGATTCTCACGATGTCCGCGACCATAAAATATAAATGTGACATGCGAAGTCCAGGGAAAGTGTTTGACGGGCGCGTGCCGACAGATGCGCTCGTCTTAATCGGTACACGTGCATTTTCCCATAAATTTAGGAAAGTCATAAACTAAGACGATACTTGTTGATACCAACCGACTTCTTTCCTCCCCCATAATCTCGACCAATCCAAAATCCCGAAAGTCACCCCACCACCCAAATTTGAACCCCACTAATTAGGAAAAACCGCTATATAAACCACAGTTCCGCGGTCCTGAGCGTCTTTTTTATCTTGTCTTTTGCTCTCGTCTTTTGGTCTTTTCTTTTGCTGAGAGCTTCATAGTAACTGTTCTTAGAGTTGGTCGAAAGGGTTATCCCAGTTCATACAAAACCAATCGAGTTCGAGTCTCGGGCGACTCCATTGTTATTCATTAAAACAATTATTAGAGTCAGTGACTTGGCGCCCCGAAGTCCCGACCACCTACGCCGACCTTGAAGCTCTTGCAGCCCTCTCAACAGACTCCGCTGATTTCATCAACCAGTAAGTTAACACCACCCTCTCCCTTTTTCTTTCATTTTATTGTTCTTTCTCTTTCTCTTTCTCCTCTCCGTACTTAGACCCCCGCGTTCATCTTCGATCTCCCGTTCAGTTTTTTCTTATTTTTTCAGTTGTTCGGTAACTGAGTAATTTCTTTCGCTTACCTTTAAAATAACATTGCAGTGCGCTCTAACGGGTCCACCGCTCCTTCACCGCCACGCCGCAGCGTGATACGTTTCGTACGGTCGCGCCGAACCGTTATCAGAAGCAGGACTCGAGCCGCCCAAGAACTTCGCCCCGCGGCACAACCCTGCATTTCTCACCCTCCGACACCGAACACTCCGACAGAGACACTCGCGATACCCTCCCTCCTCTCTTTGTTTTCTCCTCCACACGAAGTCTCATATTCACCACCATCACCCCTACCTATCTCACCTAACGAGACTCCCGCTCCACAAACCCCAGCTCCTCACTCCGAGTTCAATCCCGAATTCCTGACCTTCCCCGATCAAACTACCTCTCTCCCTTCTCAGACCTTCCATTACATTACATCCATAGAAGACCTCTTCGATTTTTGGGTGACTGCTCCTCCCAACACCTCCCAACCTGCCATTGTATATTTAGAAGGTTGCCCACATCCATTTACCATTCCGGCTAAAAATCTGACTCCTTTTTTTGAATATTCCCTTCCTCCTTAAATCCAAATTATCACACTCTCACCTACATTATTATTATTATATACACACACACGCACACAAACACATATAACTATATTATTAAATATATATATATATATATATATATATATATATAATATATACATATATATGTAATGTAACAACCATCCATAATTTTAATTTTTATATTACTTAATTATCAAAATCTGATTATTTTAATTTCGAGAAACATCTCGTATTCCTAACGCTAACACCACGATTGCACTTAGTCCAATCCCCAGCCCTTTGGATTTACTTCCAAGGCCGAAAATAAGGGCATTCGGACGTACTGGCCCATATGGGATAGAAGTGTGCCCCTAAGGCACACTGACCCATTTTCCGGCCTTTAGCGTGTGCGTCCGCCTCGGGGAGCCGCTCAGCGGAGCGACGACCCCGAGCGAGGCTTCCACTTCGTCCCCCTTCAAGCCCCCGGCTCTTCGAGAGCCTAAGGACGAAGCGAAGTGCCTCCCGTCCGAGTCGGTTTTCCCACTTCGCTTCCTTGCGGTCCGGAGCTAGGATCCGACAACGACGGTAGACAAGTCTCCTATTACGACCACCCCCTCAGGTTCCATGCGTGCGGAACCTTGGACGTAACACATCATATATATCGCAAACATTATTATAAATAATTCAAAAACCGGTTCTTAATATGTTGGCTAGTCAGTATCAGACACAGTGAG